ATTTTTAGTATGTTATAAAGATATTATGCTAAATAAAATATTACAGTTAGGGAGTGGGGCCCATATGAGCTGTAACAGAAAGTGCCAAAGTACTGAACTTGCTACTCCTCCATCACAGACCCTGTGAGCACCAAACCCTGCACCTGGAAAGAGCAAACCCTGAGCCTTGGGAGCAGAAAGCACAAACCAGCAGCTCACAGAGAAAACCAAACCCGGCGCGTGGGATCGGCAAGAGCCGTGCATGTCAGGCACAGTGGGGGCTTCTCCCCAGGCTGTCTGCAGACCCTCAAAGGCTTTTTGCTGGCTGTATGGGGCATCCCATCAGGAACAGAACTGCTGGGCAGCAGGATGGTTTTTCTTAGTCACTGGAGATTTGTGACCCTTCACAAACACCTTACAGCAGTCCCCAGGCAGCCAGGATTCTGCGGTGGAAATAACCGGCCAGTAACCGAAAGAAAACCTTGTAAAAAGAGCACAGGAGGGTCAAGCCTCCTAAGAGTTTGGCTCTGCTACCAGCTTTAAGATTTCTGTCTGATCTTCGTAAGGCTGCTGGACACAATGGAGCAGTATTGCGAGTTTCACAGAATCATAGTATGTTTTGGGTTGGAAGGTTCAGTGCTCATTTAATCCAACCTCCCTGCACTGGGCAGGGACATCTTCAACTTGATCAGGTAGCTCAGAGTTCCTTCCAACCTGGCCTTGGATGTTTCCAGGGATGGGGCTTCTACCACCTCTCTGGGCAGCTTGTTCTACTGGTTCAACATCCTCATTGTAAAAAAAATTACTTTTTTATACCTAGTCGAAATCTACCCTCTTTTAGTTCAAAACCATTACCCGTTGTCCTATCGCAACAGGCTCTGCTGAAGAGTTTATCCTTTCACGTATAAAATCTCTCCATAGTGGCCCACTCAATCACAAGGCAAGAAACCAACAGGTACATTCAACTTTAATGGAATAATTGCCGGTTTTATGTACAGCTGTAACAGAGGGAAAAAACAGCTACAGAAAGGATGCAAACACACAACCCTGGATGTGGAGAAAGTCACAGGGGCCAGGCTGGACCAAAGCATTTCTGCTACTCTCCTTCTTTTTTAAAGACATGTTTCACCTAGAAGGCAACACATGAAATACATGCCATCTGCCCAAAACTCCGGAGTGGGCTGGCAGCAGGTGACAGCCAGGTTCTGTGGGGTCATCTGGTGTTTTTTCAGTAGAGCCCGGACGTCCTCCTCCGCAGTCACACCAGAGGGGTCCCACCAAGATGCTGTGGCTCTTTGCTCAGCACCAACCTGCCACGGCACCTGATGTGAACCCATAAGCAACCTCAAGCATCAGTATGGCTCTCCTCAGGGTGCTGCAGGAGCTCCAAAAGTCCTTAAAAAATCCCTTCCAAAACTATGGCAAAATACCTGGAAAGACCAGTATGAAGCACAAAGCTGTTAAAATCGTACACACTGAATTATTAATATCTGATAACTTATTAAATAAACTCACAGGAAAAGAAGACACCTTTTTTTTTTTTTTAAATATCCTCTGATTTTTCTTAAGTTTTACTCGCACAGAAACAAACTGTGGCACTCACTGCTCACAGGCCTCCCGTAACAACAGAAATGCTTTTATCCAAGTTTAAAATGTGGTTGCGCACCGGTTACTAGGAAAGTTTACAGCCCTTGAGTTTTAACAGGAATCCAGACCGTATGCTGGGAAGGGAAGTCTCAGCGCGTTGCCTATGGTCAGTGAGCAATTGCCAAGCGAGGCTGCTATTTCTGTATCGGCTGAGAAATACGCAGGAGAATTTTCTCAGAAGAACAGGCTGGCTTTGCCTGCAGCTGTACATAAACCCCAGCCGCGCAGATGCAATCCTAAATTGTTAAAAGGCCCCTTTCACTGGGAGAGCTGGTAGGTAGAGGTGATGCTCGCACAAACCCCCTCGGAGCAGGGCAGCTCGTGGGTTTTGATGGCGATTGGCCTGACCAGACATTTTACGGCCATGTCCTCAGGCCCTCATGTCTAGATTTTTTTTTCCCTGAGGACTTTGGTACAATCTCTCCAGCATTTCCCTGCATGTTTCAGATCAGGCTATGTGGTGTGCCAGAGCTAGCCAGAACCTGGGAGCAGCGAGCCAGGTGTTATGGACATTTCCAAGGAATGGCAGGTCTCGCTGAAGCCAGGCAGGCTTTGCGGGGAGCGGCGAGCTGTGCAGGACGGGGACGCCGGCAATGCTCACACCAAATCAAAGCCATTCCAGCGCCAGCAGCGCCTCACAGCTACCCAAACTATGTCAACACAGAGGCAATATTTGATGGCGAACACGCATGCAGCTCACTGCTATTTATATCACATGCCATATATCAAAAATAGGCTACATCTGAGGACAGCTTCACCACGACATCGTGATTGGGGTAGAGGAAGGGGAAGGAAGAAGAGGGCTCCCCGCAGCAGGCACGCTCCCAGCCCGCAACACTGATGCTGCCGGGAATTCTGCGCTGAATGGTGCGAGAATGGCTCCCCCAGCAAATGAAGCGCTGTCATTTTCTTGGCGTTCGTGTCGCCTGGGGTCAGCAAGGCGAGGATCTGATGCTGCGCTTCAACGTGTCTGGAAATGCACAGGCTGCTTGTGACAGGGGAAGAGGGAGAATGAAAAAAAACCTCTCGCTGCAACCATTCGGCTTCACGGGACGCGACAGCAGCAGTGACCACCGTTTCTGGCATCTGTACGTAGCAAGTACCTGTTTGCAATACTAAACACCAGCCTGAGCCTGTCTAGCATTGACGTCTTGGTGTTAACATTGCAGTCACTTCACCCTCCCTTGCCTTCGCTGAGCCCCAGGGCAAACCTCCAGCTGTGTCCGACTTGCCCCGAATCCAGCCCAGCAGCAAGTCGGGCCCTCCCCGCCTCACGAGACCTTTAGCTAAATGCACAGCACATACAGATCTATGGCATGAACGGTGGGGACACCTGGCACGGGTGATGGCAGAAGCGTGGCCCTGACATAAAGATGCCAATAAATGAAAACACAGTCACAGCAACAGGTTCATTTTTCCACAGCTGTGGTCGACAGTCCTGTCTGAAGCCCCGGCCCTGGGGGACACACTATACGTAGCAGGGTGTGCCCCACATCCCAGGATCCGTTTCACATAAACACGTAACTGAACGGGCATGCAGATTTAACTACATCTTGGCCCTGGGAGCCCTTCGAGCTCTGCACACACACACACACCAGGCCAAATGGAGCTTTAAACCACTCCCTGTGCTCTTAAGTTGGGAGCATCACTGTCGTCACAGAAAACTGTTGTGTTTATTCTGTTCCAGGGCCATTTCGTTGACCAGCTGCTCTATGGACGACTGAATGGCCGCCTTCACGAGGGAAGATGCGGTTTCTATGAGGAGCAATTCGTACTGCTCCCCAGTTCTGTGCCCCTGGTCGCCCAGACCTTTCTCCTCTGCCTGGGGGCCACCACCAGCCTCGGGGCCTTCTTTTATACCAAAATCAAAGCTCCCACTTGACTTTTTATTCCCTTTTTGCTTATTTCGGTGCAAAACTGGGGACGGCTCGTAGGCCTGGTCAGAGTCGGTGTTGTCAGAGTCCTCAGCTTCGGTGACGGTGATGACGATGCCGACGCTGGGGCCCACGTTTGCTTCTAACGTCACCTGATGGCTGGAGCAGCCCTGCACGTCCGCTGCATCGTCTTTGAACGCCGACTGACTGAAATCCATTACAGTCTTTTCGGCTTTGTGCTCCTCAGGAAGATTTATGCTCTTTTCTGATTCATCGCCTTCAGGCAGCTCTTTGCAGGTCTTAGGGATTTCCTGCAGCTCCGTGTTTTCAGGGCTGCTGTTGGGATGATCCTTGGAAATGGGCACTTCAGGAGCAACTTCCTCGCTTTCCACATGGACTGTGGTTTGGGGTGGGCTCCCCTCCTGCAGTTTTTCCTGGGCTGTTTCATTAACTATCTCTGAATTGGTTATCTCCGACTGAGTGGTGCCCTCCATATGTTCCTTTGCATCAGGTGTGGGCTCTGTCAAGGGCTCACTCTTCCCAACAGAGCTGGCATTTTCCTTTGCCATGTCCTTGGCACTTTCCTTCACCATTTCCTGGTCCTCCTCTGCAGTGACAGGGCTGAAGGATTCAGACTTGTCCACAGGTGCCAAATCCTCCAGTTCTTCACTAGCTTTATTCAAAATGCCCGTCACTTCGTTTGCTTGGACACTGCCCTCTGACTCCTCCACTGCTTCAGAGAGGCTGGGTTTTTTCTTGCCCCTGGAGAACCGCACACAAGGCATCTTCACCCCAGAGCTCGCTCGTTTCTTCGGGACGTCTTGCGCACAGCCCTCCTCAGCATCCATCTCCAGCTGCACTTGGGAATCAGAGGGCACCTTCTTCCGTGAGGAGGATTTCTGCCTTCTTCGAGGTCTTGCAAGGTTTTTGATGGTTGCCCAGGCTCCTTTGGAGGATTGTGATTGATTAGAAACTTTTGCCTCCCCTTGGTCGGTGCTGACACATTGTTTTTTCTCCTCTGAGGCTCCTTCGCACGCATCCTTCATGGCCAGTCCCTTCTTACAGGACTTCTTCCGCTTCTTAAAACAGAGCATGGAGGGCTTTTCTGCCCGTTCCTCTGATGGGGAGCACGTTGCCTCTGTGCTGTGAGTCTCTACCTCCCTCGGGTTCTCCATTTCCTGAGCTGCCTTCACCATATGGTGTCCAATCCTTCGTTTGTGTTATATTACCAATTTTCTTGAGTAATGCATCAGACACAAGAACTGTAGAGATGCTCAAAGTGCATTTTTCCTCAACTTGTTTTCAGAATAACGTTAGCTGCTTTTTAATGGGCGGATGTGGCAGTGAAGAGAAGTTCTGATGAAGCTATCGCATTCACTTTATAACTCCCTCTTTATCTTATTACTCACTTTATCACTTCTCCAAGGGTAGACGTGAAGCTGAGCAGGCTTCTCCTTGGCTTTGCTGGCTTCAGTCACTCTCACCTCCAGGACAACTCACTTCAAGTTGCGCTCGGTCTAACAGCACGACTATTTAGTTGCCAGTCTGACATTTTTTTTTTCCCCCAAAGGACGACAAATCAAGCCAAGAGTTAACAGTTTTTATTCACCCCACGGACTTGGAAAGAACTTGCACTTTCTGAGCGATCTGCAGTTCCACATTGCACAGGGAGCTTGATTGACGCACCAGTGAAACCAGCGGCAGCCAGTAGTTGTTTTCTGCCCCCCAGTGACAAGGTCAGACGCTGCTTTGTCTCAGCTTGTGCTTTCTGCTTCAGTTCCCCGTGCAGGTTATGTGAGGTTTGCCGAGAAGCACAGCCGATGGAAGCACCTTTTATCTGGAACACAAACAAATTATAAGAACTACAGAGCTTTTTATTTTTTTTCAAATGTATTAAAAAGTTTTGTTTAAAAAAATTATTTCAGTTCGGGAGGCAGATCAGGGCTGGAAAAGCAGTTCTACCTCTGGATACACCATAGCAGGTTTTTTGTCAGTAATTAGCATCGATATCCAAAGGCAAAATAAGGCCACCAAGATGTCAAGCTGGTGATGTTCCACCACAGAAAATACTATTTTGCTATTTTGTGTGGTAAAAATAGACTTTTTTTTAAAATCTGCTCATATTAAGGCAAATATATATTACGTATGCACACGCATGTATTTTCTTCTCCTACGGTTAGCTAAATCTTTTTCCCACTGTTCCATATGCACTCATAGTTCCAGCTAGGGAAATTACACCCTGAGACAGCAGATATTTTTATCTTTAATGCACCATATGACAATATGCAAAAACACAGAATACAAAAAGGAGGCTTTTGGAATACAAAAGCAAGATCACATGGCAAGAAGGGAGCTTATTTATACTACATGCATGCCTTCCATGGCAACCTCAATTAACACCGCATGTATTCATCAAACATATCATATTGTAAAATATATGTCACCCTAAAAAAAAAAAAAAAGCGTTGCTTCAAAACATCATCAGAGCATTTTTGGATAAAAAGACGCAAACCCGTGTTACGGCAAACAGACCAACTTCTCTGGGACCGGCTCAGCGACTCCGGGCAATTCTTTTTACAGTATTTTGGGCTCTGCCTTTAAGCAGTAAGATGATCAAAACGGGGGCTCTAGCGGGGCTTGCACCTTCGGCCAGCAGACCTGGGTTTTAAATTATTCTTATTTTTAAAATTATTTTAATTTTTGAGGGGGAAATGAGCTAAGCTGCCAGGGGCGGGTGT